TGAAAACACTTCTGACTTTTCCGCTGTCTCTTTATGTGTGCTGGTAGGCAAATGTGCATAATCATGTTTGAGAGGGAAGAAGGAAGTATCTCACAGCCTAAGAACCATGTTTTACAGTTTATTTGATCATAAACACTTGGTGGTATCTTCCACCCACCATCCAGGTCTGAGCAGGGAGGGCTGGTGGTAAGAGAGAGGACAGAAAATCAGGCCTAGGCATTTTCCCTTAGTATTGCCTTCCATGGAATGTTTTCATCCATCTGGTTTAGCCAAGTTCTCAGCCTGGGGAACACAGTACTACTTAATGATTCAGGTTTACCATTTATAGTGATGCTTGATTTTCTTAATATATATGTAGATAAAATTGAACAGGGACAAAGTATCTATTTAAGAAAGGAAGTGAACCAGGTTGGGTTATATCATTTTCTTTAGGTTGGATATCTATGAAATCCACACTGCTTTGAGTTATGCTCCTTAAGCATCTATTTCATCATCTCCTGATTTAAGGATAATTCTATCTGGTCCTTGGAGCTCTCTTCCCTAGGAATTAGTGTGTGAAGTCTCTGTATACCCGTGATTCACAACTAAATATGAACTTTCTCAATCCAGGAGCAGGAAGCAAAGTGCAGGGTAAAGTTTTGCACATTGTTTGAAACACTTAGCCAAACTTAAGTGGCTTGGGTCACTCCCAAAGTTGTCAGCAGAGAAGGGCCCTCTGTGTCAGTCTATTCGAGCCTGGCATTGCTCCAAAACTGAGTCCTTATCAGACTCAGAGCAATGCCAGGCTCGAATAGACTGACAGAGTCTTCTGTGGAGAAGGTCTTCTGGGGGCTTTACATTCCTCTGGATACAACCTCCTGCTTCCCACTTTGGTTTTTTTTTTTTTTTTTGAGACAGAGTCTTGCTCTGTCCCTCAGGCTGGTGTGCAGTGGCGCAATTTGATTTCAGCTCCCCGCAGCCTCCACCTCCTGGGTTCAAGCGATCCTTCTGCCTCAGCCTCTCAAATAGCTGGGATTACAGTCGCCCATGACCATGCCCAGCTAATTTTTGTATTTTTTAGTAGAGATGGGGTTTCACCATGTTGGCCAGGCTGGTCTCATACTCATGACCTCAAGTGATCTGCCCGCCTCGGCCTCCCGAAGTGTTGGGGTTACAGGTGTGAGCCACCACGCCCAGCCCCCACTTCCTTTTGATTCCTCAGAAGACCAGTCCCTTCTGAGCCATGGCCTTCTATGCGCACAGCTCAGTGGCTCTTTCCCCACCAAAATTCCTAAGAGAAGTCATCCTTCCCAAAAGGACCCCCACAAGATGTTCTGGCCCTCTGCTGACTGCTCCCAGGAATCAGCACCTCAAGGACTATATGAGAATGCTGCATTCTCCATTGGTCACCTTCAGACTGCATTCCCTGCTGCCAACTCTTCTCTTCTGCTCTGTGTATTCTGTGACCCCCTTAACATCTGTTCTGTGCTACTAGCTTGGCCCTAGGCCTTTTATGAATACCTGATCTTACAACGATGAACTTCTTGAGCAGGCAGTGTCCAGCTTCTTTGCTCTTCAGGGACCTGAGTGTGCACCTTTCCCTTTCACAGGTCTGTTTGACATAGTAATCTAGTGCGCATTGGGGAGGGGTAGCCAGGCAGGCTGCAGAGTCTGCAATGCAGAGGGCTTGGGGAGGTTTGGGTACTCTCTGCTGCCACTACTGGGATGATATTCAGAAGAGAGGACCTCATACTGTGACTGGACCCAGGACCCTCCCTGGAAGAGAGCTGTGTGTGTGTGTGTGTGTGTGTGTGTGTGTGTGTGTGAGAGAGAGAGAGAGAGAGAGAGAGAGAGAGAGAGAGAGAGAGACCGAGACCAGAGAGAGACGAGAGAGAGAGAGAGACAGTGAGTATGTGTATGCTGTGTTCATGTGCACCTGGATGTAAAATGACTGTTATCTGGTTGTGTTACTCAGGGTGGGCTGGGGACTCACCGGAAGAATCCCCCCTAGCCTGCCCAAGACAGGTTTTTCCCTTGTACCGTCTTCAGAGAGGTCAGGGGAAGAGGGTCCAGGTGGGTTAAGGGGGGTCGCTATGGATAACCACTAAGGCCAGACTGCTGCCAGGAGGAGTGGGGGATAATGAGGTGGCCCTAGGGTCCTGGCACCTGGCTTTGGTTTTCCGTCTTCTTTCCTCAGGATGCCCCTGAGGCCTGGGACCTGTGCCTGACTTTGAGGAGCATCTGTGGCTGGGTGATCCAGCTGCTGGTGTGATCATGGGCTTCCCTCCTCTCAGCAGGGCAGGCGCTCCTGCCCCAGAGACTGGGCAACTGGCTGTTTCTATGACGTATTTATTTTTACTTGTGTTTCATGTCACTTTTTTAAAAAAAAAGCAAACAGAACAATTGTAAGTCAGTATAACTGCCTATCAGTTTTCTTTATTTCTCTTTTTGTAAAATAAAATTTAAATTCAAGAAGGCAGTGTTGTTTGATCGAGGAATTGTCTGGATAGCTGTTTGGCTGGGTGGTGGTGAAAGAAATAAATCTTAGAACATAGTGGGCTCTGGGATGGCCCTTGGGTGGAGAGATAGGCAGGAACAGAAGGAAGACTGCTGGCAGGCTCTTTGTAGCAGTGGGGTTCACTGGGCTTTTTCTGCTCTTGTTCACTTGAAGAGGGATGTATTACCACGCTCCAGGGGAAACAGCAAGCTGATTTCAGAGTGGCTTGAAGCTAGCTGGTCGTCAGCCAAGGTGAGTCCTGTAGGGGCAGCCCTGACTAGACTGAGTGGCTGGGGATTGGGCACAGTGCCTTCAGAGGGTGGGAGATGGGGTGTTTGTGAGTGGCTGGGGATTGGGTACAGTGTCTTTAGAGGGTGGGAGATAGTGTGTCTGTGAATGGCTGGTGGTAGCGAAAGCATTCTTACATTGCATATGTATTCTCTGATCATCCGTGTTGGGGAGTCTAGCCACCGGCCCACAGAGCTAACCAGAGCTTTGGCGTGTGAGAGGTGGGGGAAAGAAGGGACAGTCTACTCCAGCTTTTTGTTTAACTTATTCAAGGGGAGGGGCCCTGGGGAAACAATTCTCTGGAAATTTTAAAGGAGGGTAGAGAAAGAATTTCTGTAGTGATTCCTTGGACAAAAGAAGGCAAGAGGAGACGAAGGCCAAGTCTGGACTCGTGATAGGGGAATCTGTGCAATTGGGAGTTAGGCTTGGGAGTGGAGGATGGCTGCAGCAGTTGGCTAGGCTAGCAGGTTTCCTCAGACCTGTTACAAGTTTGGGAGTTGGAATAAAGAAAATGCCTTGCAGAGTAGGCTGCTGCCTCCTGGTGGCCAACTGCTGCCTTGCAGAGATCCTGCCAAGAGACCACTTGGCACTGTTGGAAGCAGCCTGAGATGAAGCTGGGCTGACTGATGCGATGACCTGCAGCCCCAGTCACCAGCAGACTCTTCTTCCACAAAAGAGGTGCTGAAGCTTCTGAGGCACATGCTGAACTCTGATGTGGGGCTCTAGAGTTCCCCAACCAGGCTAAGGGAAGTGAGCAGAGAGGACAAGATGAAGAATGAAGAATGGGCACCTTCTTATAATGGTTTCCTGGGAAAAGCTTACCACCTTCTGGGAAGCAGGAGAACTGACCACGAAGACCCTGCAGGCAGAGGCAGTCTCTGGGCCCGTGCCATGGCTGCTCCTTGTGTCAAAGGACATGCTTCCAAGTGTATAGCCCGCCTGCCTGGGGCACCTGAGCTGAGGGTTTGACCATGTGCTTGATGTTCACAATAACTGCCACGACCTGCACTGACCCAGCCCGGAGTGCCTGTGAGGGGCCAGCTGCCTATTCTGCCAGTCTGCCTAGAGTGCTGGGGCAGGCTTGGCCCTGTGGATGAGGCTCAATCTCCCCCTGCCTGCGGAAGGAGAATGTGAAGCAGAGGGAAGGGAAGCTGGGATTATGACTGCCTCTGTGCCCAGCCTGCTCTTTGCTAATGCAGTAGTGGGATCCACAAGGTGAATCATCCTATGACTGCTGACTTTTCCCACCACCACCTTCATGGTGTTCCCATCTGCATGATCCCCTCCCAAACATCAGTCCTTGTCAGGATACCGAAGTAGCTCTTGGCCTCACTGGGCTTGTTTCCAAGCTTATGAGCATAGTTGTCACCTTCCTCACCTCCCACCAAAAGTCCGGGACTCATTGTTGAGAGGGGAGCGTTTTATCTTTGGGCCCTTAGAAGAGTGCTTTGTAGTTTGTAGGTCCTCAGAAATTTAAGGTGAAGATTGAACCGATCATCAAGGAGCTTACACCTGATGTGGGAATCACGCAAATTATTGCTAAACCAGAAAGGTAGACCAGCCTCTCCCAGCCACAACCAGGGCACTGAGGGAGGAGCCTGGAAGAAGGACATTCCCATGGAACGTGACTCTAGGAAGCCGGAGCCTTAGTTTCGTTCATTCTATCCCCAGCTCCTAGAACTGTACTGGCAAAGAGTGATAATGTTGGATGGATGAATGTACTCACGGAAGTGGGGATGGGTGGGTGGAGGCAAGAAGCAGATATTTGCGCTATGCAAAGGTTGGATCCACCAGTTTCTTCTGCGAGCCCAGACTGGGCTTCAGCTTCCTCAGTTATGCCTTGCTTGGTTCCCAGGTCTGTTGCGAAGCCACAGTGAGAAAAAGTAGCAAGACTAAAGGTAGTACAAATGCCAGAGGCTCATACTGCTGTGCTGCACTTCCCTAGTCTGTACAAATTCTCAGCCCCAGCTCCCTGGCCCCCAGCCTGGCCCTCTACTGCGGGCCACTGGGCTGCCTCCCGTCCCCGAGCTTGGGCCAGGCTGTCATTGTAGTGCTGCTGCCAATCTAGATGCCCTGGGGTGTTGCTAAATCAACCTCAGCAACCGGATAGTTTGTTGGAGGCGGGAAGGTACGCCGTGGGTTCCGGCCCAGCCAGTGCTGGGGCCAGGCGCTCGCCCGTTGCCATGGAGACGGGGCGGGGCAGTCCTCCGCCCTAGGGGTCCCGCGCGCACGCGCCCACGGCCACGGCCACGTCCCGCCGCGAGAGAGGGCGGAGCGAGCGTGCGCGGCGGGCGCGCGCAGGCTCGGCGACCCAGCCCTGAGCCGCCTGCGCGGTTCGGCGTCCGCAGCTGGCGGCTGCTGAGGTGAGGGCCGGGCCAGAGGAGAGGCCTACCCGCCGGGGCCTAGGTCTGGGACCCCTGTCCGCGCTGGCGCGACCTCAGAGCTCTCCGTGTCCCCTCCGTGACCCCCGCGGCCCGGGCCGCTCTTTGCGTCTCGTCTCGCCCACAGCTGTCCCCGGCCGGGTCCGAGGGCCTGGATGCGACCATGGGGGCAGCTCACACCCTTCCGGGCAGCCCACTGCCGCGGCCACCGGTGCGCGGCACGCCCCTAGGCCGTGGAGCTGGGGGAAAGAGGCGCGAGTCACGTTTTAACTCCGCCCCCGTTCCTCAAGGCCGCGCCTCGGAGCCCGGGCTGCAAACTTTAGCGTACCTTAAGTTACAGATGTGCGTGGGGCTCCGCGAGGAGGTAGGCGAAGAGAAAGGCTCTGAGTAAATAGGCGAGGTCTGGGGTGAGCAGGGACTGGAATCCGAGAGTGTAAGACGGCGGCCCGCCCTCCCCGTGGGGTCCCCCCACCCTCTGGAACCGAAGTTTAGTTCGTGACAGGGGCCCTTTAAGGGCCCGGCCCTCTGCCGCCGCGCACGTGAACGGCACCAGGAAACCGGCTAGGGGCAGCCTTCCCTGACACTCGCCCGAACTGGCCGCACGCGTCCATCCCGGGCCTCTGAGCGTAGGGGAAACTGAGGCTCGAGAGGGTGCAGTCTGCCGGAGGTCAGCGGCAGCGGCAGTTTCTGGGCGCCAGGTGTGGCTGGAGCCCTCCAGGAAGAGGGGCGTGACCACGGCACTAGTGAAGAGCCCTGACATTGTAAAGCTAGGTTTGGCTTCTGATTTCCCCAAGGGCTTTGAGAATGGGGCGAGGGTGCTTTAGAGGCCCCGGTGGGCTTTTCCTGAAGAGGGTAGTCAGGGCACGATGCTCGGCTCAGTGGTTATTCCTGGGCAGGGGGGACTGTTTCATCTCCCAGCACTGGAGCGCTCGGCCCCTGCCGCACTGGATGCCAGGAGTTACTAAAAGTGAGCCTGGCATTTTAGGTGAGCTCCCAGACCCTCTTCCTTTTCTCTTGAATATAGGGGAAATTCACGTTGCCCTTTCCGGTGCTGACCAAAACTCTGGGACCCACAGGTGCATTTTTCCCCCCTTTTCTGAGCAGTTTGGGAAGTGAGAGGAAGAGAAAGGTGGATACTAAGTTTCCTTGAGGGGGCAGAAAGTGTTAAACTGGGATGGCAGATCAGGGTGAGGGCTTGTCATTCCCAAGGCAAGTGTAGGCCTAGATGCTGGGAGTTTTCCAGCTTTAGGCTCAGAGATGTCCAACAAGGATTAAATGCTTGAGCCTTTCTGGAAGCCAGTCACCAGAGAAGAGAGAGAATGTAGAAATGGGGGCCTGGAGTCAGACTGTCTGGGCTTGTGTTGCCTGCATTTTGGTCCACGTGGCTCTGTTTAATACCTGTGTGACCTTGGACAAGTCTCTTAACCTTTAACCACTTGTACCCTTAGCCGTACCTACCTCGTTGGATTGCTTTGAGGATTAATGAAGTAGCTGTGTTTCAACATTTAGACAGTTCCTGGCGTATAGTAAGTGTTCAGTGGAAGATTTCTCATCATCAAAGAAAATAGGAATGAAATTAGCTGGAGACAAGATGAGTAGAACAGGCAGAAAAGAGAGAGATACTGATGGGTAGGAGCACAAATGGGTAAGACTAGTGGGCAGCACCTCAATTTCCTGACACCAAAAGTTTAGAAATTTACTTTGCCTCTTTGTGAGCAAATACTGTGCTCGTTGACTCCAAAGATAATTTTTTAGTGTAAAATCAATACCCAGCACCCACAGGGAAGAAATAATTGTACAGAGCTAAGTTTTCCACAAAGCTGCAGCATGGCCTTTTCAGCTTCAAAATCTTTTAAATGTTAAATATTAATTTTAAATAATATTTAAAAGTGATATTTAAAATTTATATTTAATATTTAAAATTTAAATAATACTTAAAAGTATTAAGTATACTTTTTAAAAGTATATTTAAACTTCAAATACACTTTATTTGGGTGGGAATGTTCCCTCAGTGGGTCAAATGCTTCCCTTTCTCTTTAAACAGTTTTCTCTGGGCTGTGATTTTTTTTTCCCCCCTGAGCAACTCGGGTCAAGCCCTCTGTGTAAGAGGGTTAGGCCTCTGGCCCCAAGCTGCCTGGAGACCTAGGCAGTCTCCCTTGAATAGCTCACACACTGGCTTCTGTGTTACATGTTCCTGGGCCTGCTCTTGAACAGTTTCTCTTCCCCTTATGGGTAATTGTTGCTTCTTCCTGCTGTGCAACTCCCCTTTCAGCAGCCTTTTTCTCTTACTCCTCACTGTTTCTTCTATGGCTGGAAAAGTGGGATGAAGCTTGTTAACATTGGTGGTTGAAATCTGGGAAGCTGAGTGTTGGACTTTGTTCTAGCTGCTCAGGCCATTTTACTCTAGTCTTTCTTCTGGTTCTGGATGGGTGAGCTTGCTGGATAGCAAGGTCCCGGCAGGCCAGGTACACTTCACAAAGGAGAGTTCTTAGGAAATTCTCTTGCTGAGGCACATTTTCCCTCAGGAATTTTTTTTTCCTTATGGTTTCCCTGTTTATTAATAAGTGTTGGGACCCTGGCATTTGCTGGTCCTTCCTCTGGCAGTAGTCCCTGAGGCTTGGGGAGGCTGGGCTGTTGGCATGGCTTAGCAGTGGTGAGGAAGAGGTAATGTTAAGGCAAGGCAGGTTGGTGGGTGTCTGGCTTATCTGGGGGAGACTTGTCAGGGCCAGGAATATGTCCTTGGCTAACTCACTCCTGTGCCCCTCTGTGACTCAGTTTCCCCAGGTGTGACCAGGGCTGCCAGCTGACAGGTAGAGCTGCTCTGACATCTTCACCGACAGTGATTAAGAAATGAAGAGGCTTGTGGCTTCAGTCATCCTTTGTAGCTCCCTTCTAGGTCACTCTATGTGTAAACACCTCTGGCCCCTCCCCTTTCTGGGTCAGAGCACTCAAGGCAGGGCTGAGGAGGTTGGGCCAGAACTGGTTGGCGGGCAGGTGGGCACATTGTCAGAGCAGGCTACCAGCCTCCTCTCCCTTCTTTCTCCTTTGCAAGCTGCCTTGGGGTGCAGTGTGGGAGGTCCAGAGCCATGTCGGACCTGCTACTACTGGGCCTGATTGGGGGCCTGACTCTCGTACTGCTGCTGACGCTGCTGGCCTTTGCCGGGTACTCAGGGCTGCTGGCTGGGGTGGCAGTGAGTGCTGGCTCACCTCCCATCCTCAACATCACTGTGGCCTACAAGTTCCACATGGGGCCCTATGGTGAGACTGGGCGGCTTTTCACCGAGAGCTGCAGCATCTCCCCCAAGCTCCGCTCCATCGCTGTCTACTATGACAACCCCCACATGGTAAGGAGCCTCCATGGGGTCCTGTCCCATGGATGGACCTGGTGGGCCAGGGCTTCTTTGGGGAGGGTAGTTTTGGTTGCTGAGGAAAGGTTGGGAAAATCTTTGAGCAGGCCCTGCAGACCCCTCCTCTGTGAGCTTGAAGTGCCTTCCAGATTTAGCCTGGACTTCTCCTCTGGGCATCCATTTTTGGGCTTTCTACTTGCCCGCCTCTGGTTCCCGTGCCCATGGCTACTCGTGGATTTTCAAATGCAGTGAGCTAAACCACCTTGGGTCCCTAGTTTCTGCCAGGACTTTGGTGCCCTGCTGCCTCTTCTTGTCATCCCTCCTTCCATCTCCATTTGGGGCCAGTGCTCTAAGGCCCGGCCATTCAGATTCTGCCCACTCTGTGGGGTTACATCTTACTGTTTCTGTACTTTCCATCCCTCAACTCTCTTGCCATAGTTGTAGACGCTTGAGGGTCGAGAGGGGAGCCCCTTGGCATGAGAGGGGTTTGGAATTGTTCCTCTTCAGCCATTCTGATGCCTCCCAACCCAGTGATACGGCATTTCTTTAGACCTCAAGCTGCCTAGTTGGGAGATGTCGTGGGGGGCTAGTAGAGCCAGGTGAACTACTTAGAATGTTCAGAATGCTCAAGTCAAAGACTAATCCAGCATCACTAGCACGCTGTGGGTGTCTGGCTGTTCTTACAACCTATGGTGAGTCAGAGCTTGCCAATGTAGTCTCCTGCTATGTTATGGGGTGTGCTGCCCACAGCTGGATGGGCTGGCAGTTCTGTTAAGGGTTCTTCAGCCTCTCATACTGAGCCATGCCAAACCAAGCATTTGAAATCCCCAGTTCTGATTTCCTTGCCTGGAGAGCTCAAGTGGATAAGCCCTGCAGCCTACCCAGTGTCTGCTGACTGAGCTCACTGGGCCATTAGTAGAAACAGGGTGTGCTGGTTCCCTCTCTATGCCAGGTTCTGCTCTACACCTACACTCTGGAGATGAATCAGACCTGGCTCTGCCCTCAGGAAGCTCGGTGTGGCTGACACATCAGCCCCACACAAGTGATTCTCCAACAAGACAATGTGCTTGATGTCCACAGAACTTTGAGCTGTGGGTTCAGGGAGGCTGTCATGAGTCTGCTGGGGAGGCCCAGAGAAGGGGTAGATTTCAGCTGGGCCTTCTCACATAGGTAGAGTTTTGCTCTGTTGGGAAGGGTTACTTGGCTAAGAAAACTGCAACAGCAAGAGCCTGGAGACATGGGACGACTGGAGAATTGTGGCTAGTGGACATGTGGTGGGTGGAGAAAGGCAAAGGGTTTGCTTAGCCAGTTGGTGGGAAGGTACAGCAGGTTGGGAAGAAGGGTATGGCACAATTTGCTACCTTTGTTTTAGGAAGTTAGCTGAAGGGCAGGTGGAGGAGGGAAGGAGATAAGGCAGGAGGCCATAGAAAGGCCCAGGTGAGAGGTGCCATGGGTTGGTTGAGGGATGAGTCGACATTGTTTGAGGTTTTGCAGTCACATCGCCAGGAGGTGGTACTAACTGAAGGCGGGAGCACGCAATCCTGAGTGGGATGAGATAGACAGTGGGCTATGGGAGCTCCTAGATCAGATGTGTGACCCTCACCCCTGCAAGGGCTCTGTTGTGTAAGCCCCTGCCGCTGCTTACCCCTGCCCCTCCTTCCACACCTGGCCCAGTCAGAGCCTTCTGCAAGACCCCAGTGGAAAGTAGGAGAGTCCTTGCAGTTGCCTTTCTCCTCATTGGTGTGTCTGCCTATTCTGGAATCAACATGTTGCCTCTTGGGTTGAACGTGCTAATTCCCGGATGGGAAAGAGCTAAGGCAGCAGGGTACCTTGGGGTCAGTGCTGGAGGCTGGTCTAGGGAAGAGTGAGATAAAAGAACACTGGTATGGGATATTCTGGCATGGCCACTGCCTCCTGTAGCTTTCCCAGAGATGTGGACCCCATGAGGTGGGCCCTTGGGCTCCACAGTTGGCTGGGCATAGTCTGACTTGGGTGCTTGTCTGGGGACTGTGGCCTGAGAACACAGCTTTGAGGCTAGCAGGCCTGAGTTCTGATTCTGTCCCATCACTGTTCTGCTGCATGATCTTAGGCATATCACATAATGTTTCTGAGCCTCTATTTCCTTATCTGCAGAGTAATGATAAAATACTTGCTTCATAGTTAGGCTGGGAAGGGATAAGGGATACAGGTGAGGCATTTACCCCAGGACTTAGCCCTCAACAGATGCTTAGCAACAACAAAGATGGGTGGGAAAACCATTTGTGCTAACATGTGCTGAGAGGTCAGACTGAGCAAACCTAGACCCTTGGCATGGCTGTGGACATTTGGCTGATACAGAGGATGAGTGAACAGGTCAAAGTGGCCCTTCTGATCCTGCCTCTCCCAGTCCTAGGTCAGTCCAGAAGGCACCTGTGTCCCCATTTAGAGCTAGGTTACACTCTGGCACCTGGGATGACTCAGGGACACCTGGGTCCCCATCTACTCTGGGAGCTGGTCATTGCATTCTCTGCCTGACAGAGATTGTAACAGATTCAGGAAACCATAGACCCCCAGGCTTCAGGTGCTCGTGGCTATCACAGACTGTCTGGTCCAGAAGGACCTGAAGCCTCCTGGTCCTTAGTCCATATTATGGAGGGGAAAACAGGTTCAGATAGTAGGAGTAAGGTACTGATTTCATACTTTGTTGTTTTCATTTAACAAATATTTGTGCACCTACTCTGTACCAGGCTCTGTGTTGGGCACTGGGGTACTGTGGAGACCAGGACCTCCCAATGTGTGGGTATTAGACAGGAGCCTAGAGGAAAGGCCCCATCCTGGTTCTGGAGTGGGCTGAGAACCCGAGCTTTTTTGCTCCTTAGGCTTCCTCCACCAGCAGTGTGCAGCCTGGGGCATGCTCTGGTTCTCAGAGAAAGAGAATAGAGGCAGACCTGTTGAATGTCCCTCCCTCAGTCCTCCTTCCCTAGCCCAGAGCAACAGGAGCCAGGATCTGCTTCTCTGTGAGTGTGGGGAGGCAATGAGGATTTGTCAGGCTCTGTGAGTGGGGTGGTGAGTTATCAGGTGAGAGGTGCCACCTGGCTTTAGATGCTGCCTGCCCCCATGAGGTGTGACAGATAGCTCCCTAGCCATGCCTCTTCCTGTCCTCAGCTGGGCAGGGAGGAGGCTGGTTCTACCTAGGCTGGGTGTGGACCCAGGAAGTAGCACAAGAGAGGGTACCACTAAGGTGGGACAGGGGCAGTTGCTGTGGACCTGTTCATAGTAGATGCTACTAGAGCTGTTAGCCCTGTGCTCTGGAGTCCTGTATGGGAAGAGGCAGCAGGTCTGGGTGAGTGGTTCCTGTGAGGCAGGAGGAAGGATTTAATTCTCCATCCCCAAAGGGCTTGGCATAGTTGGGGATGGGAAGGTGGGGAAGGAGTCTGTTGGAAACTGGACAGACCCTGGCAGGGGCTCATGGGTGCCCTTACCCACCTCAGAGCCCAGCATTCATGGAGTGTCGGCCATTCCTCTTCAAGGTATGCAAGGGAGATGGGATGAATTTAGAGATAAGGGTCAGGTGTAGGTGGATATCAGTCACAGATCTGCTCCCCTATACGCACTGGTCCATACTGCCCTTGCATGGCTGGGGAAGGGTCTTGGCTAGAAAAACTGCTCTGCCCTCAGTCCTGCTTCTGGGGTGGGTGCTGGGACTTGGAAAGTGACTTCAGGCTCCCTTTTTTGGGCTTGGTCCCTCTGGGAGCCTTCAGTGTTGGAGGAAAAGGGAGAAGCTAAGATGACCCTGAGTGCCTCACTTGATCCTGGCCAGCTCTGGCCTGTGGACAGTTTCTAGTGGCTGGGCTGCTGTCACTGTGTCTGTGGACCTATCCGGTCTGCCAGGCTGGCCCTCTACCTCCTACCCCACCCTGTGCTGCCACCATCTGCGCTGCTGTTTTTGGAGCTTAAGCAGCCTGCCTGCTTGTGTGGAGAGCCTGGCTGAGGCGAGAGGGGTGTGACAGCCTGTTCAATTTACCTGGCCCAAGTGGTTCTGTATTTGCTGCTTACATCTAGCACCTAGGAGGTGGTGTTTGCTCCAGGCATGGAGTGGGTTGGGGAACTGGTGGTACTTGGTTCTGCCTTTAGTAAGCTAGACTGCTGTTGAAGCCCCCTTTCTCTAAGTCCAATGAGAACCAGTGCCCAGGCCTACCAGGTCTGCAAGGGCTGAACTGGTGAGAATTCTGTAGGCCTGTCATATTCCCTCTTCCCTCAGTGTGGATGGAGATGGGGCTCCCTGCCCTCCTTGGAGGCGCTTAGGGAAGGAGTGAGGAAGCAGGATTTCCCAGGACTGACCTCCTCAACAAGGGCAATGGGAATGTGGGCTGGGATGTTTCCTGAGGGCCCAGGCTGCCCCCTATCCCAGTTACTCCATAGTTATTTTCTGCCAGGTGGAGTTCAGGCATTTGCTGTGTAGTAGGTTAACTGTGTGGGACAGGTCTGGAAGCACCAACTCCTTCCTCTCTGCCCACTGGAACTGTCCTTAAGGTGAGGTGAGATGAGGTGTAAGAGGAGGGGGCTTTGGATTTGCCCTTCTGGGGTTGAATCAGGGCTCCACTGCTAACCACTTTGTGACTTTAGGTGAGTCACTTGGCCTGTCTGAGTATGTCTCCTCATCTGTCACATGAGAATAAAAGAATCCCCACCTCAGGGTTTTTGTTTTGTAGGAGCTAAATCATAAGGATGTGGCCCAATAACCAGCACTTAATAGGTGGGTGTCACACTTGACATCCAGTCTTTCCTGAGAACCTCATGCCACTGAGACTTTGTACTTTTAGGGACCCTGCCTGCCTCTGATCTAGTTCCAGCCTCTTGCAGGTTGTTTGGGCCATGTGAAAAGGCGCAGTGCAGGGAAAAGCCATTGTGCAGCCCACTCCTCACCAGAACCAATTTCTCAGACTCCTGGATGCCTCTGGGTTGTGTGGCGCAGCTCTGAAGTTGGTCTGCTTGGGTTTGAATCCTGACTTCAGCACTGCCTTGCTGTGTGACCTTGGCTGAGTGTCTTGGTTGTTTGGGCCTCAGTAACAGGGTTGAAAACAGTACCAACCACAGAGGGCCGTTTGCATTTAATGAGCTTATGCTTGGAAGGCAGCGACTAAGGAAAGTGGTGAGTGCCTGGTCAGATATCAGCTGTTGTTAGGATTCTGTTTGAGGGTGTAGGGGTATAGAGGAAGGTTCCTGAAAGGTTTCTAAGTAAACTCACTTTTGAGGGCTGGTATCTTGTTGACTCTTCTCTTTCCTCCCGATCCTGAAGAATGGGTCCTGTCCTCTGGCCTGGCTATTTGCATCAGCTCATGTCCTGACTGCTACCTGTCTCTGTGTGCCTTTGGGCATAAGCTGCCCAGGGAAGTTGGGGTTGGTGTGTTGACCTGTAGCACCCAGGAGGGCAAACGAGGTCCCATGTCAACCCTCTAGCCATGGGCCAGTGCAGCTGCTCTATTACCTTGGGAGTACCAATGCAAATGAAGGGCCCTGCCTCTACTTTCCCCCATACCTTGGGTAGCCCTGGGTCAGTGGGCTGGTATGGGAGGAGTAAGGGCAGCCCTCTGTGCCTGGGTTTGAGAGATGATGCTGCTGTCCCTGTCAGGTTGTGTAGGTTGTAGGCCTAGGGTTGGCTGTTTCTATTAATCCTGAACCCAATGACTACATTTGGTGGGCCAGCTGATACCATTTCTCTTTCCTGCATCCTGAAAGATAATCAGTCTTGTCCAATTCCCAGACTCAGCAAGGTCTTAGCTCAACAGTGGCCCTAAGGTGGCTGTCTTCATGATAGCCTCACACAACAGGGTCAGCAGGGCACTGTGACACTGCTCAGGAAGAGGCAGTGGGGCCAGCTTTAGGACTAGCTCATACTTGGAAGCTTCGGGTTCCAAGGAGATGGCCCTCTTCTCCCAATGATGGGACTCAGGAGGCTTCTCAGCCCAAAGGAAATGCTCTGGGGCCTGGCATGTCTCAAGAGTACCAGTTTTCCTGGTACTCTTGCTTTGAGGACAGATCCTGAATGGGCTTGTCTTTACCCCGAGTAGTGGTGGGTCTGGCCACTGCCCTGTTTCCTGGGTGTGATTCCTTGTAGGTGCTAGTTCTGGTCCAATTTTTATTCTGGGCAGAGGTACCCAGAGAAATAGCTGATATGGGGAGGAAGAGGAGCAGGCAGGTAGAGCTGGGAGGCCCAGGCCTATGTCCTAGGGTTAGGCCCAAATAAAGATATTGCACTGAGCCAAGGTTGATGGGGTCTCTTGCTCATCAGGACATCCCAACCTTCTGAGCCCTTGACAATCTTAGTAGGCCTTTCCCCTGGAGGTGGGTCTGGGCTTTACTGGGAGGCTGGTAAAGCCTTCCTCTGCTACTGGACCTTGCCACTCCCTGGGTTATTTCATAGTCTGTGCCATCTTCTTGCTGGTGCCTTGTTAAGCTGCTTCCCAGCTTCAACTTTGCATGGGGTTTCTTAATGGGTAGTAGGCTTGCTGAGGGACCTTCTAGCCTGCTCCTTAAGCCAGGGCAGTGGGAGGGAGTAGGAAATGTTCTTACTTGTGGAATTAGGGAGTTGCTTGGCCAGGAAACGAGCCACTGTGCCCCACACACCTTCTGGATCCTGGAAGCCCTGCCTCCTTAGCTTCCTTCTTCCACTGTGACAAGACCTCTGCCTTTTCTCCAGGTGGAAGGAGAGGAAGTTTGTTATGGTGCAGGGCTTGTGTGTGCATGTAGGTACTGTCTCTGAGCATGCCTCAAGTGTGTGAGCATGCCCCAAGTGTGTGCAGGATCCTGGACCTTTTTGCCTAGAGGTGGGGAGAGATGGCGAGGCTGTCAATTACAGCACAAGACTCACTCCCTGGTAGATACTTGGGATTAGAGAAGAGATGCTGCTTGGTAGAGAGCAGCAGAAAGCTTTGAAGGGAGAAGTTGAACTGCCAAACTCTGGCAGCATGGGCAAGAGTTTCCCAGGCAGAAGGGACTCTGGAATAGGGTGAAGGACATTTCAGGCAGAGGAAGTAGCTTACGCAAAGGCAGGAAGCATGGGAGGATGTGGCATGTTTGGGGAGCTGCAAATAGTTTCCTGTGGGGGTGTGGGGGTGTGGCAGGTGAGGAGGCTGGCAAGGCGGGCTGGTCCAGAGACTGGATTTGTCCCTCCCTCTGCCATGCAGACACTCAGTAGGTGCCTGCCCATCTGGGTTCTGGCCCCTGCTGAGGCCTGAGGCTGCAGAAAGGGAGTGCAAGGTGAGTGTGTGGGCAGATTTATGCAGTTTTATGTGGGCCACTCCAAAAGAGCCTTGCCTACTGCACTTGTGAATTTAGTTTCATCCTAGAGGTAAATTGGGAGCCATTGAGAGGTTCTAAGCAATATGACCACATGTGTTCTGGTGCCTTTTGGTGACTGAAGAGGATGTTGAGCTGCGAGTCCCATGAGGGTTGCTGAAGTGTTCCCAGGAAATACTCTGGGACTCAAACCCAGGCAAGACAGGGGTAGAAAGAAAGAGATCGAGTGACCGTCCACCTCTTTCTCCATGTGACTTATATAGATGTTTCTTTTGCACAGCACAGGTCGCTAGGGTCAGGGACATGACGATAGGCTTTGTGGCAGGCACTGTCCCTTGGCTTGTCAACAGGAGTTCCACCAGAGAACTTCCTATCTGGTCAAGTCTTGGTGTGTGAAGTAGTGCATTTGCACCATCTAGAGACAAGAGGTGGTATTGCAGTGCTCTCCTGCGCCTCTGGGTGAGGTGGGAGGAGTTTCAGGCCAAGAGAAGTGACTGTGTGCAAGGTAGACTTGTGGAGGGCAAAAGAGTTTACAGCAAAATATTGGTGGAGAAGAGAGTGCCACTGAGCCACTCTGAAAGGCTCTCCAAGAGGGCATTTAAACCTGAAGGACAGGCAGGGAGGAGCTGCACATTCAGAGGTTTGGTTGGTTTGGCATTCTAGGCCACGGAAAGTTGTTTGGACTGTGTTATAGCTACTGATAACCAACAATTATGGAGCACTTGCTGAATGCTGGACCTGCGCTAAGCTCTCATGAAGTTTCTTGTTTAATATGACAGTTCTGTAACTAGATATTAAGGAACTGGGGCTCCCAGAATGCAAGGGACTTGTCTAGAATCACACGACTCAGATTCACCCCTGGCCTGCCTCTCTCAAGTTGTGTTTCTGACCACTACACCCTGTTGCCTGCTACTAAAGCTCTGAATCAGTTTTGGATGCCATAGGATTCAAGGGGGCTGCAAGGGGACCAGAGCTGCAGACAGCTGAGGGTGACCGTTAGGGCCTGCTTAGAGGTGAGAGCCTGGATTAGGTGCCAAAGTCCCAGGCAAATTGTGACGAAAAAGAAGGGCTGGGTTGGCCTGAGTAGAGGAGGCCATTCAGGGCCAAGAAACCCCCGGGGGATTTTGGAGAGGACTTGGAAAGGGCTGTAATGGGAGGTAGATGTGAGAACAGGTAATAATGACTTCACAGTGCTGGAAAGGAGGACTGGAGAGAGGTGTAAGTGGAGGTAGAGGGAGTAGCCTGTTTAAACTTAGGGGTCATCCCTGTGACCATGAACTGCTGGCAAAAATTATTTTTAAAAGAAAAAAATAATAAACTTAGGAGTCAGTAGGCCCTCAATAGGGGGAGAAAGGAGCCTTTAGAGTTGAGCGACACCCAGGATTGAGGGTACAAGGTCTGTGCTGAATCTCTTTGATTCGAGATCATATGCCTCTGAGGGCCCAGCCTGAAGGCTGGTATAGGCTTAGGCACTTGGAAAGCTGACATGGGAAACAGGTAGCAGTAGGTGAGATAAAGTGAGGCCCCCTGATGCCACGAGGAGAAATGAGTACTGGGTCTTGCAGCTTTGTGTCAGTCCTAGGAAGTATTGGAGGCTCACACAGGAGCCTTACCTGGCTAAGTTTTCTGGGAGCCAGAGGAGGGAAGTTTGGTAGCGAGGGGAGCAGAATGGGAAACGCAGGTACTAGCAACCTACGGAGACTTGGAGGGGAACCAGTGGTTCTTGGCTATTGGCCAGGAAGGGACTTGGGAAGTGGGATAGGTCCCTGGATGGGCCATGGGTTAGAGAAGAAGTCTAGAGGCTCTGGTGATGGTAGCTGGCCCTCCTAGAGGGATGGGGAGGATGATCTCTTCACAGAATCTCATCAGCAACACAGAGGTCAGTGATCCTGATCCTATGTCCTGACAGGTGTTTCCTGAATTCCCTCCACAGCCACTTGCCAGGTTCTGACCCTGCAAGCATGTGTGTAAACACACACACACATGTTCTTGCTTTCCTAGGGCATGACCTTGGAAGGCTCTGAGCTCTTTATTCCCGCTCCTCAGTTTTGCTCCCTTGCCTGCCATAATTTCTCTGCTTATGAAGCCTGTTCTTCTCCAGGAGATAGGAGGGAAATGAGCTAATAGGGATGTGCTGGACCTAGGCTGCAGGATCAGCCACTGTACAGTCCTGCTGGTGGCCCTGGGGAGTGGGCGCTGACAGAGGGTCTCATCAGGAGGTGAAAGGGCCCCCTCAGTGGAGCCGTGTGGAGGGTGATGGTTCAGAGGTCTTCTCTGTCCTTCCCTCTCCTGGCCTCCTGGAGGACAGAGACCAAGTCTAACCCCTCACCATGATCCCTGGGTTTCTACAGAGCATGGCAGGTTGTTGAAGAAATGGATGAGAGTCCTGCAGTATGATGCCACAGGCAGGGGCCATAGGTGGGTTCTAGTAGGAAAATAGCTAGCTCTGTCCTGGTATCTGGGGCTGCATGGCTTGTCAGTGCTGGTGGTTCTTTGAGGCCTGATCTGGCACAGCCCCAGGAGGAAGGAGGTATGAGGGCCTCCTTCCTTTGCCTGACTCTCACACCCATGCTTTGCTTCCCCAGGTGCCTCCTGATAAGTGCCGTTGTGCTGTGGGCAGTATCCTGAGTGAAGGTGAGGAATCACCCTCCCCTGAGCTCATCGACCTCTACCAGAAATTTGGTTTCAAGGTGTTCTCCTTCCCGGCACCCAGCCATGTGGTGACAGCCACCTTCCCCTACACCACCATCCTGTCCATCTGGCTGGCTACCCGCCGTGTCCATCCTGCCTTGGACACCTACATCAAGGTGAGGTACAGGCCTGGGGTGTGTGTTTTGGGGACAGCCAGGTCCCTTGGATGGAGCTGAGGAGGACTGCCTAGAATGGGAGGAAGAGCTGGTTTTGGGAGAGCAGCACCCTGGGCCCCATGGAACAGGTACCTGTGGAGATAGGAAGATGGGCAGAGGTTGTTGGCATGTTCTCTTCACAGAATCTCATCAGCAACACAGAGGTCAGTGATCCTGATCCTATGTCCTGACAGGTGTTTCCTGAATTCCCTCCACAGCCACTTGCCAGGTTCTCAGGTGCCCAAGATATGTGGGAGTCAGAGCATATCCCAAGAGCATGGAGAGCTTGTTCATAAACCTGGTCTGGTTAGTTTGGTTCTGGCTTTGACCAAAGACATCCTTAGTGCATATCCCACACTCCTGGCTCAGAAGGATGGACAGGCCACTTTATTCTCATCCTGCTGCAGGCCTGCAAAGCAAGGACCTGAGGCTCCCAGTGTCTGGGCAGGCCCCAGGTAATCACGTGTTGCGTGTGGCTCTGCCTCTGCATGGGGTTATACACCTGCTCCCTGAGCCCAGGGCTGGGGCAGCAGTGGCAGGCTCTGTCTTCTTTACTTCCTGACTTGGTCACTGGCAATGCTGGCAGCCCAACCTTCCTGGAGGAAGGAGAGCTAGCCACCAGGTCATCTGAGAGGGGTTTCTGTGTCTACAGAGTTATTTTAAAACTTGCCCTGGGCTGGGTGTGGTGGCTCACGCCTATAATCCCAGCACTTTGGAAGGCTGAAGTGGGTTGATAATCTGAGCTCAGGAGTTCAAGACCACCCTGGGCAACGTATTGAAACCCCAAAAATACAAAAAATTAGCCGGTGTGGTGGCACTTACCTGTAGTCCCAGCTACTCAGGAGGCTGAGGCACGAGAATCACTTGAGCCCTGGAGGTGGAGGTTGCAGTGAGCCAAGATTGTGCTGCTGCCCTCCAGCTACAGAGTGAGACCCCGTCTAAAACAAACAAACAACAACAACAAAAACTTGCCCTGTTACACACCTCTCCTCTAAACATTTTGTAAACTTGGATACTAGGAAAATGGCCCCAGTTTGGACTTGGAAATGATTTCATTAATGTAACTTGTATTTATTGTCTGTGTGCCAGGTGCTATAATGGACATGATGTGAATGAAATGTCATCGGTCCATGAAACAGACATTCACAGTGAGGTGGTAAAGATAGGTAATAAATGTCAGACAAAAATGGGACATGTGCTAGAGAAGGAGAGGGTGAGAAAAGTCAGGGAACCGCGTGGACAGAATTGTCAGTGATAGCCTCTCAGAGGAGATAACCTCAAGTCAGAGTCCTAGAAGAGCCTTTGAAGAGGAGATAAGAACATTCTAGGCAGAGCTTTGGTCTAAATGCAGCAGGAAGTCACTGCAATGTTCCAACCAGGAAAGTAACGCAGTTGGAGCCACATCTGTACAAGATGGGCTGTCCCAACCCTGGGCAGGGTAGGACTGGACCACAGATCTGGGGCCAGGTGGAGGTGCTTAGGAGGTGGTCATGAATCCCAGTGTGAGTGGTGGCAGCTTGGGCAGGCCCAGTGGCTATAGAGTTGTGGACAGGGATGGAGATTTACAATCTCTTTTGGGATAGAACTGATGGACTTTGGGTGGATTGGTTGTTGGGGAAGGAGAGGCAGTGAGGGAGTCACAGAGGGCTCTGCTCCCCTCTGGCCTGGGCAGGTGGGTAAGCATGTAGTGATCCATTTCACTGACGTGGAAAACTGAGGGAGGCCCTGGTTTTAGGGAGAAGGTAGCTTTTTGGGCTATGTCGGGGAGCTACCTGAGAGACATCTGAGTTGGGGGGTGTGGAGTCAACAATGGTATATGTGGTCTAGGGTTGAGAAAAGGCTAGGCTGGTGGATATATTTAAGGACATCAGCTAGTTGGCACTGTTTGACCTGGGAGGTTGCCCTGTGCCTCCCAGCTTCTGTAGGGCCAGGTAGGCAACGGACAGCCTGTGGCAGCAAGGGCTGCACAGAGCATGTGGCCAGTGTCGCTGGGGTCAGGGAACAGGACAAGAGAGTCAGTGGGAGTGGGAGCTTGGTACACTTGGAGGATCCTTGCAACTTTGTTCACCAGAGCAGCTTGGGGAAAGGGACCGGGCATTGATGATGGAAATGGGAGCTCAGACGTCCCTGGAGTCTGGTGTTGGGGCTGAGAAATGAATAAATGAGGCCCTGGGTCACCAGCTGGCCTTGGTGGTCAAGGATAGGTTTGAACAATCAGGAGTGAGAAGACCTGGAAAGTGGAGGGCTGTCACAGTAGAGGGCAGGGACACAGGGAGGATAGAGGGAAGTTTTCTTTGTGAGCTGGAGGGTGGTGGCCAGAAGGGGTGCTGGGCAGGATGTGCTTGCCTGGCTGCGGTTGGATTGGAGGTGGGGGCAGGTTGGCTGGCGGTGATGGCAGGAAGGAAGATACGAGTGCCTAGGCCTGCTTAGTGTGCCGCATCTGGGGAGTCCTTTTTACCTAAGGAAGGGCTCTCCAGTCCTGTCTGCGCCATCCTCAACCTCATGGGCCCATCTGGAGGGGCACCCCTGGGAAGAGATTTCTTGGATTTCAGACCTCAGAACAGGGCGTGTGGCTTGTGGTGTGGTGGCAAGCAACTCAACCACCAAAGCCTTTTCCTGGCTTCAGGGGTTTATTTTTAGACACCTTTGTCCAAATTTCCTGGCCCCTGACAGCTTCACAAGTTGCCTGGTTTTGACGTCACCTCTTTGATGAAGCCCTTCCTCCCTCCTCCCCCTCCCATGGGAGCCTGTCAACTGTGCTTCTGAAGTGGGGGTTGAGACAAGGAAGCCAGGGATATGGGGGAGAGCAAGGGGCTTCTCCCAGAGACATCTGTGAGGCATGCTTCTGTGGGCTTGGCCATCAGCGGGGAGAGTAAGAGAGAGGCCGGTTGCCCACAGAGGAGGCATGGCACAAGGTCCTGGGCTTGTTTTGGCAGCAGGGTGTGGGGGTGGCCTCTGCCCCTGTGTTTAGTTTGACCTTGTGTCTTGGGGAGCAAATCCAGGGGAGAGATGAGGAAGGGGTTATCTCAGTTTGCTGGTCACAGCCTGCAGTGGACAGAGGTGGCCCTGTGCCCCTCTCAGCCCAGAAGACAGCCAGGAGAGAGTATAAGGCTCCCTTCATCCCTGCCTTTATTTCCACTGCCCTGGGGTCAGAGAAAGGAGATTACTAATGAGACTGGATGCTTCTGACTCTTGGTAGGGCTGACAGCTGACTGCCTTTAACTGTATGTGTATGCGTGTGTGTACACTCTTCCTTTTCTCTCTGGATCTGGGACTGCCGTGAAGATTCTTCAAATGGATTGACAGCAGCCGTCAGCTTTCTGTTTTGGCAGGGGTGAGGGAGGCCAGGAGCCCTGCTGCCAGGAGTTGTTGGGGGAGGCCTTGGCAGCCTCATCAGCCTCCCCAGGGGCTGGGTGAGGGGCAGGGGTGAATGGATCTTAGCTTTGGGTTTGGGAGGTAGAGAGCAGCTGCTGTCCTGGCAGTTGCAGATGTCCCTGAGCCTGGGACAAGATTAGTCCCATGGGACAGAGGGACCTAAAGTTCACTGCGAGAGGCCCAAGGAGAGCACTTGTCAGGACTCTCAGGATTCTGGAAGGGATGGCTGATCTCAGCTTTCCTGGTTTGCATGGCAGCCTCTGGCTCTCTGGCCAGCCTTCCTCAGCTTGGCAGCCTAGCAAACTACTGTAGGGGCTGGAACTCTGCCTTTCTCCATGTAAACTGTTAAGAGACCCCAGGCTGAACAGTCATTCCCCAGGAATCCTTGGGTACTGTGTGACCATCACTCCATATGGAAGATGCCTCAGCTTTGTCAGGGTGCTCCACTGGAGTCCAAGGAGGTGGCCTCTAGTACAGGAGGAGGCCACTCGCCAAGTCTCAGGAAGGAGACTGTGAGGTATGCTTGTGTGGGCTTGGCCATCATCGGGGAGAGTGGGGGTGTCTTCTGGCAGCTACAGGATGGAATAGAGCTTGCTTGAAATTCCAAACCTGCAGAAGAGAGATGGGGCCCAGATGTGAGCCCAGAGCAATGGGCAGAGGCCCCCAAATTCACCACAGTCATAATGAGTGTCCAGGGAAGGCTTTTGACACATGGAGCAGACCAGGACTGAGGGATGGGCTTGGGAATTCCATGTGTGGGATTGTGTGTGTAGGGTCTCTAGTGCAGTTTGCTCATATCTGTCTGTCTTGCTTGGCAAGGAAGGCCATTAAGAGTGTTAGACTGGTCGAGCTAAGCCCCCATGCCTGTCTTCTCTCAGACCTGTCCAGAATCTTTTTCATAAGTGCCATTTTCCATGGTCTCTGATTTCAGGGAGTTTTAGGGGAGGGTCTTTGTAAAACGGTTTGAGCTTCTTCTCCCAAGTTTAGGGTGATACAGGGCATTGTTCATGTGATGACTGGCCGGGGAGTGCAGGTAGGCCCTGGAGCTCAGACATTAGCCCATTCTCCATCAAATTGGAGTATAGCACATGGGGAAGGGTCACCGAGGGATGTAGTGAGCCTGTGAGGGGAACCTTGGTGGCTGAATTCTGGGACAGCTGGGTTGACTGGGACTGTCTTACCAGGGGCTTAAAGGGGACAAGGCTAGGTGTGGTGGTTCATGCCTATAATCCCAACACTTTGGGAGGCTGAGGCAGGAGGATCACTTGAGCCCAGGAGTTCAAGACCAGCCTGGGTAACATAAGTGAGACCCTGCCTCTAAAAATAAAACAGAAAAAAAATTAGCCAGGCACTTGTAGTCCCAGCTACTCAGGAGGCTAAGGTGGGAGGATTGCTTGAGCCTGGGAGGTTAAGGCTGCAGTGAGCCATGATCATGCCAGTGCACTGTATTCTGGGTGACAGACTGAGACCCTGTCTCAAATGTAAGTAAATAAATGAAGGGGGCACAGTGGCTCACACCTGTAATCCCAGCACTTTGGGAGGCCAAGGCAGGTGGATTGCTCCAGCTCAGAAGTTTGAGACCAGCA